AGCCAATAAATGCAATCATGACAGAAATGAGGTACTCTATCTGATTATGCATCTGATAAGCTGAATTACAACACTTAGGAGGCAGCTACTGAAGTTCTCTCTCTTATAAGATTTTCCCATGTCATCATGCTTCTCTGTGATGAAAGAGCATCTGTAAGAAGCAGAGGAATTCCACAGTGCAGAGGGGATTGGATCACGTGTTAGCCCACAGAAGAATAGCCAGAGGAGCATGGCTGTGAGGGGTCATCCCTCTGCACCACATCATTGCGACAGTGCTTCTTGTTGAGAAGAACTTTACAATTCTCTTTGTCGTAAGAGACGATAGTATGAATGCTGTTAGTGGCAAAGACAAAAGAAAAAAAACCTATTAGCTTGAGAGCTTTCACTAGCTCTGTAACATGGGTGAATAAAGCCTCTTTTGTGCACTTACAAACCCATTTATCCCCAGCAATGGAAAGCTGTGGTCATCCTACAGGCAATAATGGTACCAAGAATTTCAAACGTACAGGGAGCAGCATTGCATTGCACCTTGCCAGCAATAGCATTGGTAGCAATCTTCTGTCCTCGCAATGAATCCAAAGGGATACAGTTTTCCATTCCTCACACAGCCTGTGTAAGACAGCAGCAAAACAGAACAGGTTCCTTAAGCCTCCAGCAAAACGTAGAAGAGTTTAAAAATTATTTCAGCTATTCTAAAATTGTAATTCCAGGCAATAATGAAATACCAGGAATTGGGTTTTCCTTTCAACTCCTGAGTGAGCTCCATGTGCGGGAATAGCAGTGGCAAACTAACACCAGTTGCAGGAATATTGCTGCAACCACAAGCAGCCCAGGAGAAGACTTTTATTTTTCCCCTACTTTTAGCATCTTGCTGCTGGAGTCCCCTGCTTGTGGTTTTCCAATGTCTTCCCCCTCCCTTGTATTTGGAGCTCTTCCTGACAATTCCACAGAGAGCCAAGTTCCCACAGAGCAATCAGGTCAGAGGATCTCCCTTGTTTCTACCTCTGTAGGGCCTCCCTGGAACCTGAAGTGCAGTAATGCAACATGCATCAGCCAGGGTCACCATGGCGCCCACTGCAACAAGGAAAGCCAGAAAGCTCTTCTGTAGAGAGAAGGAAGCAAATGGTAATTTCTCCCCGCTTTATGAATCAACATATATTACAGGCACTGCTGCCTCCTCTGTAGAACCTATGCCATTGCTGATATGCGTATCAAAGGCACTTCTTGATGTCTGTTCCCTTGGGGACTATGTGAACACAAATCACAGGAGAACCAGGCCATAGGACTTTGTTGGTCTATTTATCATTACCTAACTGTTGATTTAGATTCTGCAAATACATTTGGAGACTTGAAGAGGTAGAACAGGACACAATTTGAGGGATCAAAATGAAGAAAAGAAAAAATACAGAGACAATATATACATACTTTTTTTCTTTGCAAAACAACAATATTTTAGACTGTGCTTCACATTTATAAGTTTTAAAAGAATGGTCCTGAATATTTGTCAAGCTCTGAATGGTTTCACAAACATTTCTGAGGAAAGGACAAAAGCAAGGAACGACTATACAGCTTCTTGCAAAGAATTCCAATGCAAAGAGCAAAATTCACAGTAATCTTCAAAGAGGTGTCTTCCTGTCTTTGCATCTTTCAGGTTTGAAATACAATATAGCCACATTTAAAATGTGTAACTAGATGGTTCTCTTAAATGCTCTCCTTTTGCAGTTTCAAAGCAAATACCTATCTGTATCCCCATTACAAAAACATTCAAACCAATCTAAACCTTTGACTTACCATTGTGGAATGCTTGGCTTCCAAAGAGCTCTAGGTTTCCTGAGAAAGCTGAAGTTCTTTATGTGGAATCAGAGAGCAAATACTTTATGTTCCCTTTATGTTGTGCAATTCAAGTCCAGGTGGAGGGGAAAAAGCCTGCTCCATGCAAATGCAGGTATTTTGTAACATCCAAAGAAATCTCTGAAATTTTTCCAGCTGGCAATGAGAAAATGTTTGGTTTTGTAGAGCACCGACCTGGGTAAATTGCTGACTCCAGAACTTTGAATTCCTTGGAAAAATTATGATTAGAAAAAAATGTCTTTCTGATGGGAAACAAATATTGATAGCTAAGCTGTAGACAGCATTATCCAGCCAGGTGATTTTTAGGTGGGGCAGAAATGCATGCCAAATCCTGCCTGCAATCAGAGGGCTGGAACATGCTGAGTGGTGCATTTGGTGTTAATAGCAAATGGAGCTTCTGCCAGATCTTTGCATTCCCACTGTGAGTGCTGGGGTGTGCACTGAAAGATAGCAAAGGTGCTTGGCCTCTACCAGGATCAAACCCTCTGAACACTGAGACCTCAGCTGAAGCTGGATCCCATTGCAAGAATTCTCCTTCTTCTCCACCAAAATATGTTATAAGGTAATAAACTCATTTTCATAGATTTTAGAAGAAATATTTTCTCTCCTTATTTGTGAGGCTTGGCTAGGAAAACTATTTGGAATTCTGAAATACTTCAATGTCACGTGGCACAATTCCAGGCTACCACGAGCTGGATATTAATCTTGAGGTCTGCACTTCTCAGTGCCTCACACTAAAAAGTAATCTATTGGGAAAATCCAAGCTTTTTAATTCATGAATCTCTTTATTTATACAAATAAAATTTTAATAAATGCCGAAATTCTGAAAACCATATTTTCTCAAGGGGAAGTTCTATGAGCTATTTCAAAATTGTTCCTCTCCTGCAGAACACAAAACCCTTTTGGGCAAAACTTACTTTAGAATGTTAAGCAACATCAAAATGTTTGTTTTCATTTAGAGGAATGATGGGATGGAATCAGTGAATAGGTGTCAAGATTATAAGAATGCACATTTGAATGTCTATACTGAAAACAGCTGAGCTGACTCTTCAGTCTGGCCTCTCACATTTCTCATCCTTACAGGAACCAGCTGTACAGAAACACAGAGCTATGCAGGCTGATATCCAGCCTGCAACACAGACAACTTAAAAAGGTTAAGTATGTAATACCAGTGCCTGCAAAATACTTGGATTTTTTTCCCCAATCCAAGGTATGTTACTTTCAGGTTTTAGAAACCTTTAAAAAAAGTTCATAAGCAAATCACCAAAACCAGACAAAATACATCCCATTAAACCTTTCTGATTCTAATAATGGCTCACAGAGACAGATTGTCTTGTGATTGATTGTCTTGTGAAGGAAATACCCCTGCTGGATAAATGGAGACTGACTCTTGTTTTGGGGCCAAATGAGGATCCCTGCACTAGGAATGCTCAGCTGTGTGTAACCTCATACAATTACAAGACCGCAGATTTGTTGTGATCATGGAACATCACTGAACAATCCACTTGTTTTGGAAGGTGTCCTTCTTTTCAAACCATGGAACAGTTAACTACAGACTGTTGTGGCTTTTTAATATCCAATTGTGAAAGTGGAGGCCTCTCTGTAGAGGAAACATTTAACAGGGTTTTGTTGTCTGGTCAGATATTTGGGCAGATTTAGGACCCTCGGCATTGCCAGGTGGGAGACCTGATTTCCAAGCCCTGCTTTGAAGCTGAGCTTCAGTCCCCTGTGAATGTGGGGAATTGCTGCACTGAAGAGACAGAAGGCATCTGCATTATCAGGAGCTCCAGCTCTGCTGCCATGAGGAAGCAGTCTTCAGGGGCTGATCTAGATCCCTTTCTCAAAGTGGACAAGAACCACTAAAGCAGCACAGTGTGTGCAGACTTTCAGGATCAGAGCTTGGCAGAGGACAAGTCAGAGTACCAGAGTTTAAAGTTTAACATTGCTTTCAACTTCAGGTCTGGTCACAGTGGGCAATGCACATGAACAGTCACTGCCAGTGATGGGGGATGACGTTGATGAAAACAAGGGAAAAATGGGAGAAGGAGGATGATGATCTCTCATGCTCACGGACTTTTCTGAGGCGTTAGCAGCCCAGGCCTTACCAAGAGTCTGTGCACGCTGAATAGGAGCCATGGTAGAGCATGTCCCAAATAGTGCATCACTTCCAAATGATAATGGATTTTGACACCTGGCTAAAAGAGAACCTGAAAACCATGACACAGTGGCCTGTGCCAGGGTAACGGTACACAGCATGCCAGAGTAGAGAGCCAAATGCATTTCTTTGTCCACGAAAGTGGCATTTCCCCATGTCACAGCAAAAAACTAAACATCAATATGAATAATTTATGAATGTTTCATCTCAGTTTATTGTAGCCAATAAATGCAATCATGACAGAAATGAGGTACTCT